CCTTCTACAGTAAAATACTTATCTCTCCCTTCTACAGTAAAATACTTGAGTCTCCCTCTCCCAGAACATTCTCTTGATGTTGTTTCCTGCTGGACTGGAGAATTGCCTTTGAGGCAAGCTATTGTACTGACTTTGCCTTTGCCAGTGGTGTGTTAATGGGTGTTACTATAATAGAATATTATAGTAATATTACCATAACAGCTGTTTAGTAGTTAAATAAACTAATATTCTGTTAAGTATTCCAATAAAGTTAGACCAATTCTTCTTTCTTTTGTTTGTATTTTAACCATAGAGTAAGAATAAAGTGAGTTTTGCTTAAAGTGGAGTGGTATAACCAATTGAAATGGTATCTATTACATCTGGAACACAGCACTTTACACTGGCTTTTAAATAAGAAAGGGTTAGGATTTAGGCTGTCTCGTTGATATATTTGAAGGGGCGTTGATCTGTCCATAACAAGCCACCAAGTATCCAAAGGCCCCAGGAAAGCAGACCAGGGCTAAAATTAAAACAGTAGTTGATCTGGGGGCATATAGACGTCTAATATTTAATGGGCAGCTTGCATCCTATGAGTGAGTCTGTTGCCCAGCTCCTCAGCCGTAACCCATCTCTGTTCAGAAGAAAGTGGGAAGATTGCAGGTAGGCCAGGAGCTAGCTTCAAACTTTTGATATTTTGGAATTTGACACAACCCAAACTGTCCGTCACCAATGCTGAAACGATTCAGCATGAAGTATCTGCCAAATCACCACAGTGTTCAGTATATTCTCTTCAACAAAAGTAAAACCCACCATGAAGTAATTAGCACTCGCTGCTTAAACAGAAGCAAGCAGTGAATGATGGTAAAGAGTTGAGATGACCAATGATTGTTTTCACATAGGATCCCAACAAGCAACAACTTAAAGAAAGTGACAGTGAATTAGGCTGAGCTTCAGGTGAAGGGATTTGTTACTATGTATTCATTCAGATACAAAAAGAATTTATAAAATGAAGTGTCTAGGCCCGAAACGTCAGCCTCTCTGCTCCTATGATGCTGCTTGGCCTGCTGTGTTCATCCAGCCCTGCACCTTGTTGTCTCTTATAAAATGAAGTGATGGTTACCAGAGTGGTTGCAATGGATCATAGTCTGTACATAAATGTCTTCTCACTTTCCATGTGGAGAAATACATTTCTTTACACAGGCCTTTCAGTCTCTCAAGCCCACTCCACCATTCAATAAGATCACACTGATCGGATTCTGGTATCAACTCTACCTTTTTGTGTGTTCCTGATAACCCTTGACTCTTTTGTTCGTCAAGAATACATCTACCCTGTCTTGAACATAGTCAATGATTCCATTTCCACTCCACTCTCTGGAGAAGAGAGTTCCAAAGTTCATTACCCTCAGAAAAAATAATACTTTTTTTTTTCTGAAATGGGAGAACTCTTATTTTTAACCCGAATCCCCTAGTGTTACTCTCCCCCACAAAAGGAAACATCTTCTCTTTATCTGTCCTGTCAAAACCACTCAGGATCTTACACTTTTCAATAAGATCAACTATCAATTTCTAAACTCCAACTTGTTCAACACTTCCTCACAGGGTCAACACCCCCAACCCCTTCATAAGACTTTGACAGTGTGCGAAAATTCTGAACCATCAGCCTTGTTTCTGCTAAAAAAAAAAGCATTAATACAAGTGTTGGGTGTTGGCAGAATGGCGTTATTGACCACTATGAATAATGTATTGAAAATGAGACTTCATTTTTGAACAAGTACCTCATTCTGATGAGTCTTGGAGTTCTGCACAGTCTTCATGCTGACCGACATAATGACAAGAGGTGGAGGGGCAATGTCTTTCACCACAGTCACATGCTCCATCTTTAGCACTACAGCTTCCACTTTGCACCAACTCATGGGATTGTTGGCAAGCTCTGAACAGAGAAACAAATAACCCGTTAGCTTTTGGTCTGATATATAACATATCAAGTTAAAAATCTCAACCTTACATACACATCTTGACCATTTCCACCCTCCCTCTCAGCATTCACGTCACTTCCTCCACTCCTACACCCAACCGGATACCGTTTGAAATCCAGTTAGCACTGCGAACAAAACCCAAATTCCAACTCAAAACAGTGTTTAACTAAGTGTTTCAAAATCAGAGAAGTAAAAACTACTCTTTTTGTTTTAAATTTACTTTGAAGTTGTCGATATCATTGGCAAGGACAACATCAGCTGCCCATCCCCAGTTTCCCAGAGTGGTGAGGAAAGCAGATTGCAGAATTCTTGTTGAACCATTGTACTCTGGTGTGCTGCACTCAAAATCTTGCTAGCTCACCTTAGAGCACAGTTAACAGACAGCTTTTCCTACAAGAATATCAGTAAACCAGTTCAGGTTTTATTACAATGTAATAGCTTCATGGTAAGGGGTTATGAATACCAATTTTTCACCTCTAGATTTTAAAGAAATGACTTTGAATTCTCAAACTTCTATGGTAGCAAAAGATCATAAGAAACAGGATCACTAATTGGCCATTCGAGCCTGTTCTGCAATATCATTAGATCATGCCAGATCTGATCATGACCTTAAAACTTCATTTTCCTGCTTGAAAGTGTCATAGCACCTCAACAACTTTGTAGATAAAATATTGATCTTACGCAACCTTGATCTATTCAATGACCCAGCCCCAAGTGCTCTCTGGGGAACCTTTACTCTCTAGATCATTAGCTCAGTTCTCTGGCTTATTATTCCCAGTGACGTAACCCTCCTGCAATAATGCAATGAAAACAAATCTAGAAAATTGCAACAATACCAGATAGACCACTTCCACTTTTGGGTTAAAATTGTGAACTTTAGCATATCATGAGGAAAAAAGTTAAAGCACTATCACAATGACTACCATTCATGCAGCACCTTTTACATGAGAAAACATCCAAGGCACTGCACAATACTCAGAAGACAAACTCCCAGTTAAAGGAGATGTTAGCTGATGGGGTGAAAAACTGGTTTAGTGAAGGAGATAAGGTTGTAAATAGGATTCCAAAGGAAAAGAGGAAGAAGAAGCGAAGAGGAAAAGTGGAGAAAGAGTTTGAGGACAGAATTCCAAAAATTATATATCGATTATAAGTCTGGATGCACAACAGGTGAGAGAAATGCACAGATGGCTAGTTATGGGGTGTGTGTAGGGGCGTGGGGGTTGTCAATTTTGAGGCTGGAGGAGGTTACACAGAGAGAGCCAACATCATGTCGCAATTTAAACAGTTGATGTGAATTTGAAATGCAGATATTAGATATGGAATGGGGGAGCAATATAGGTTAGTGAGGACAACGACTTGATTTGAAATAGAAAATGGTTTAAATGTTTGAATAATTAGAATTAATGGGCAAATATATCTACCAGTGTGAAGTAAGCCATTTTCAACAAGTGTTCAGTGCTGAACCAATCCACATCAGTCACAGCAATAATAATGATGCTAGAAGTAGTCTCACTGTTTCCAGACTACAGTCAAAGGGAGACAAAAATTGATGGAAATTAAGTTTTTACATGAACATGATTTGAGATAAGGACAAGACTGGTCTGTACTATCCCTCTATATCCGGAAGTCAACACTCAATGCCTGCATTCATATTGCAAGGGACCATGAGGGTTGTCAGTATCCTTGGAACCACAGCCCAACACGAGCCAGCATGTTCAGGAGGGCGCAGTAGAAAAGAAAGATTGTACCAGGTACAGAGTTTGATATAACTTCAGCTTGTTCATTATCCTTTCCCCCGTATCACACCACAATTATGCCCAGTCTGCTTTGATGAAAGGAGGCCCAAAATGTCCTTAGGCAAACTACAAAAGATGGTTTGAAATTGTCTTTTATAACAACAGCATTGCAATTATCTGCATGCATTTCCTTGAAGGCAAGAATCAGCAAAATTCAGGTGGATCTCCCTGATGGAAAGAAATTAGTCATAAGAATAAAATGTTTCCATGTTTACTGCTGCCTCAGTGCAATCATTCATCAACCTTAAATGGTGGTAACCATTGACCGCTGAGACTTTCCAGCATTTTCTGTTTTTTATAGCAAATGTGATGCTTCCCCTTAGCTTTCTTTCATAGATTCATACAGTATTGAAGAGGACCTTCTGCCTATCAAGTCGGTACCACCAAAACAACACTAAAATTAACACTATTCCCACTTTCCTGTAATAAGCCCATTATTCCTACTTCCCTGCACTAGGCTTATTGCCTTGAATGTTATGACACTGCAAATGCTCATCCAAGTATTTGTAAAGGTTGTGAGATGTCCTGCCTCAATTACCCTTCCTGTCAGTGCTTTCCAGATCCCCGCCCCACCTCTAGGTGAAAAACATTTTCCTCTAATCATATCTAAACCTCTAACCTTACAGGTTAAAATTATGCCCCGCTTGTTAATGACCCTTCAACAAAGAGGAACAGCTGTTTTCTATCCAATCTGTCCATGCCCCCCATAATATTATACACCTCTATCAGGTCACCTGTCAATCTTCTTTGCTCAGAAGAAAACAACTTGAACTTGTCTAGCCTGTCTTCATACCTATAATGCTTCATCCTAGGCAACATCCTTGTGAATCTGCTCTGCAAACTCTCCAGTGCCATCACATCCTTCCTATAGTGTGGTGATCAGAACTACACACAGCACTCCAGCTGTAATCTAACCTAGTGAGGTTGAGTCTTAATATTCTTTGAAATGATCTGCCTGTCAGTCACTCGGACTGCATTGATTCAAGACAGGCCATTATTTTCTCCAGGTTGTACTGATTGGGCCCTACTGGTCTTCTCTGTTTTGGACCGGCTGATCATCAGTCTGTGCTAGTGTCAAACACAAAACACAAAATGGACCAATGCACTTCAATTATTATTGGCACAAGCTACAAATGCTTATTGCTGTTGTTACTTAGCAACATGAAGGATGGAAAAGAGAAACAAATCTTCCAGCACAACTATGCTTAATATCAAATAGAAAAAAATCAGTTTGCATCTTAGCAGAATGGCAATAGTTCTCTAATAGTAGCCATGCCACTTGGACACAGACATGCAGAGTAAATTCAATGCAGTTTACCCAAAGATTGGGTTACACACTTAATAATAGGGAACAGATGAATACAATATAGTTTTACTCATACTGAAATTGCTTGCAGAGAATCCCTCTTTCCGCAACCGACAAACTACTAATCGTGCAAAGGAGGATGGGAATAGAGATGCCTCTTCACTGGAAGATTAGCAGCTTTAGAATGTATTCGTGGGGCCCTTTAGGAGTTGTAAAGAATGAGCACTCGTTCAAGAAATACAGTAAATGGTAAACAAAAAGGATTTTAGTTAGTATTAATTTGGGTCCATTTGCAATGCGCGTTCCCAATGATGATACAACAAAAGAACTGCAGTACAGCAAAATGCTGAACCTATATTTATGTAATTATCTTGACAGAGCAATCAGAGACCATTTAGAGTATCATAATAGTTCTAAAGACAACGTTAAATGAGCTATATGATGCTACAGCTGTATTTTCAAATGCATAAATAATTTGCCAAAAAATATTATGCTTGGACCAAGTCTCTTATATGAAAATACACAGGATTCAAATGCCATCCAGGAAAAAAAATTGAATCCACAACAACCAGAAGGTCCCAGATTAAATTTTCAGTTAGGGTGGACCCATCACTTTCATCCATCCCATAATCACTCCAGTACCTGGTCCCTCTTTGACCATCTCACCTTGGTCCAGTTCCCTCGCATCTTCTTGAAAATTCTTATTCCCTTACTCACCCTTCTAGCCCCACCTCAGGTTTTGCACCGATTTGATCATCCTTCCATCTCATCTTCTCCAGTGTCACTGTCTACCTCAACTACGTTTTGTCTGAGTACGTTTTCATTTGACTTTGAGCCCATCTTTAACTAATAATGGCTGGGAAGTGTCTTAAGTGACCATAAGACCACAAGACATAGGAGCAGAAATTAGGCCATTTGGCCCATCGAGTCTGCTTCGCTGTTCAATCATGGCTAATAAATTCCTCAACCCCATTCTCCAGCTTTCTCCCCATAACCCTTGACCCCTTGATAATCAAAAACCTATCTATCTCCGTCTTAAATATACTCAATGACCTGGCCTCTACAGCCTTCTGTGGCAGTGCATTCCATAGATTCACCACTCTCTGGCTGAAGAGGTTTCTCCTTATCTCCATTCTGAAGGATCTTGCCTTTACTCTAAGGCTGTGCCCTCGGGTCCTAGTCTCTCCTACCAATGGAAGCATCTTCCCAACATCCACTCTGTCCAGGCCATTCAGTATTCTGCAAGTTTCGATTAGATCCCCCCATATCCTTCTAAACTCCGCTGAGTATAGTCCCAGTGTCCTCAAATGTTCCTCATATGTTAAGCTTTCCATTCCTGGGACAATTCTAGTGAATCTCCTTTGAACCCGCTCCAAGGCCAGTACATCCTTCATGTGATATGGGGCCCAAAACTGCACACAATACTCAAAATGTGGCCTGACCAAAGCCTTATAAAGCCTCAGTAGTACATCCCTGCTTTTATATTCAAGTCCTCTCAAAGTAAATGCCAACATTGCATTTGCCTTCCTGACTACTGACTCAACCTGCAAGTTTACCTTGAGAGAATCCTGGACGAGAACTCCCAAGTCTCCCAAGTGGTTACAATAACAATGACAAGTCTTTTTTCCTTGGATGCCTACATTGAGCTACATGAATAATCAAGTTTTGATGAATGACAGGGAACTGGATTTCAATTCTCTCAGTTTTACAGTTTGTGTAAATTCCAGCCCAAAGCTAGCAACTTCAAAATTAATTCTGCAGTTTTCACTGTGCTCGTCTGAATTTTCTAACTTTTTAGTGTTCTTTACAATAAAATTGTGAATGTAACCATTCAAATTGCTGTAGTGTTTAATAATTGTGATCTCGCATGGGCCATAAACAGGCTCATGTGCAGCAAAAGGGAAATGCAAAATATAATCTTCACTGAGTATCTAACTCGGCCTTGGCGTACTTCAAATGAGGAGAAAATATCAGCTTGTGTTCGCACTTAATGCCTTCCCCTTCCTTCCCATTCAACAGTATAGTCAAATCCATCCCCAAGACTTGCTATTCAACATGAGAAACTCAATTCAATAAGGTAGTGATAGGTTATGGTGCCCTGGAACTAGTACCCACTAAAAAAGTTAAGCTTTCAGAAGTTTAAATGTGTCAAAAACAAAAGTCCTTTTTCAAAAGAGAGATTAAACCAAGTCCTCATCTACCCTCTCAGATGGATGTTCAAAGATCCAAGGCAATATCCAACAGGTATCCAAGCCAATTTATACCGCAAACAAAATCACAGTTATGTGGCCACTCATCTCACTGTTGATTTTGAGAGCTGGCTGTGCATAAATGGCTACCACATTTCCTCCACAGTGACTACACTTCAAGACTAAATGGCGGAGAGATTGTGAAGCGTTTAGAATGTATTGAAGTTATGAGAGGTACTGTAAAAATGCCAGTTCTTTCTTATCTAGAAAACAACATTTACAATAAAGAAATAAAAATCTTACGTGGAGCCTTGACTTCCAGCCAGCTTGGTCCCTTGATCTTCCTGTTCAGGAGCAAAAGTTCAAGACTGGATGAATTGGTGCCAAACACTTGAGAAAAGGTTTCCCCTTTCAAATCAGAAGGAAGTGGAGGCAGGTCAGCCTGTATCAAGAAATAGCACCAAATACAAATATTTCATTTATTAGAATGACAACTGAAGACTGGACATTTATGATGCAAACGTTTTGTGGCTGTACAGATATAAGTTTCCAAAGACTTTTCCATACTTGCTGCTAAACGTTCAACTAAATACTATGATCTTTATACTTTTTTATTATACAGAATTTACAGTAAAGTCCATTTAGTTCTAAAGACTTCACTCACTCCACTTACTTAAATCTAAACTTGTCAACACATCTTTGGTACCTTTTTCTCTCATACTACTCTAGTTTCCCCATTATTCATTCTAAAATATAAACTACATTGGGACTTGAGGTAATAATGTATTCCTTCATAGATTTCATGTACATCACAGCGTGCAGTTACTATTCCTTAGCAGAATATAATAGCCGTTCCGACAACAAAACTGCCATCAACAGAAATCAAGAATGGTCAGTTCAAATCACCTGAAGACAAATGACTATATCCATGTTCTAAATGTAAACTAGAGTACATTCTTACAACTTATTTTAGTACTGTCCTATACTTACTGCATAGCTGATTTCTAGGTATTCGCAATTTTCTGGAACATCTGGAATTTCAAAAGAGTACTTCCTATCCACTTTCTGAAAATAAAATTAAGATAACCTCATCAGTTAAGCCCTGAGAAACCACTGTGAGTGAATCGTGGGAAATAACACAGTCAACTAACCTTTGATTTGAACTTCATTATTTTGTACTTTTCAGAAATCAGTTCATTAAATTCCTGATAAACATCCAGTATTACTACAGGTGTCTCAGTATCCTTGCCAGTTTTCAGATCAATGCGCTGAAAGCAATTCACAGTGAATGAGTCAATTTTTTATCATCTTAAAAATATCTCAAAGTAATAAAAACATTAAGGTTTAAGCAGTCACTACATGTCTATGTTGATAACATAATATCATACAATCTCAATTTAAGATAGAATATTGAAAGAACAAAGCAGCAAACATACTGAGTTTCATAAAGTACCTAATTATGCTCAAGATATTTCAAGCGATGGAATATTTGTCGTGTAAGCAGGGCAGGCAATTTGCAAGCAGATGAACTCAATAATGTTTTTGACCAAGTAAACATTTTGTCCATCCATTCCTTCCACTGGTGAGGACCACGACACATTTTATGACATCACGAGTGACTAGACAAAGCCTTAGCATAAAGTGTGATCCAAAAGAAGGCACCTCAGATGTTTACCACTCCTTCCATACCGTATCCATGCACACTTTGTGTTCAATTGCAGCTCAGAAGAGTTAATTCAATTTAATCAATCAATTTCTTGAGGAGATTTTTTGAACAGATTCAGAGACAACATCACAAAACCTGATAATTAGAGGTTTTCGTCAAAACCAAACAGGATGAGCTGGCAACCAAAACTTACATCTCAAGTTGGCAAACAGTTAAAATTTAAATATATTTTAAAAAGGTGTCCCACTTCATGCAGTTGATTTATGATTGCACCAATACAAAAGCTAAAACCACCTTACAATCACCACAGTGAAAATAACAGACAGTACATATTATGAACCTTAAATTGATAGTTTACAAAACTGAATAACATGTTCCATTACAAACAACTTTATGGGAGGATCAAGGCCATTGCGTACCGTTTCCCGTGGCAACAGGTATATTGTTCGTTGAATATTTTTCACAGCCACGCAGCAACTGACATGTGTTTTCGCTGATTCAATCCACACTTTTCCAAAGAGATAGACGACTCCTAAGGAAAACCCAAAATGATCAGTTCCAAACTGAAACAAAAGGGGAGGCAATGGCCTCCTGGTATTATAGCTACACTATTAATCCAGAGACCAAAGTGATGTTCTGGGACCTGGGTTCAAATCTTGCCAGGGCAAATGTGGAATTTGAAGTCAACAAAAGATCTGGAATTAAGAGTCTAATGATGACCATGAAATCGTTGTTGATTGTTGGAAAAACCCATCTGGTTCACAAATGTTCTTTAGGGAAGGAAACTGCCATCCTTACCTGATTGGCCTACATGCCAATCCAGACCTACAGCAATGTGGTTGACTCTGAAGTGCCTTCTAGGCAATTGGGATGGGCAATAAATGCTGGCCTGGCCAACGATGCCCAGATCCCATGGATGAATGAAAAAGAAAATGCAGAAATACCCATTTCATTAGATCTATGCAACAATACAAGACCAGAAACAAATGTTATTTAGTTCCAAGCAATTCTGGTCTGTTTCTTCAATCATTACGTAGGATAATTTAATAATGTATAGGTTTCTTCTTAAAATACAAATGAAGATCACCCAGGGTCAATCTTTAGACTGCACTCTTATCCAATCACAGGCAAGGCAGCTGAAGGCCACATTATGCTTCAGAAAAACATTACTTAAAGGCCGAGAGCGGGGAGCTTGGATGGGTCCGAGAGAATGAATAAAAAAAAAGGGATAATTAACTGGCTCCCCTGTAGATATACATAATAGTATTATCAAGCTAAGACAGGACATAAAACTGACTGTTCCTGGTTAGAAACTACTCAAGGAGGACAGAATAGGAAAGAAGGGTGCAGCTACAATGTCAGTAAGAACTCTAGCACAGTTTTAGAAGCAAAAACTTGTTACAGATTCATTTCAAGACATGTGTCTATCAGCAGGCACTCTGAAGAGCAAATGGGGATGGGCAGCGAACGTTAACCATAACAGTGATGCTCAATCCCATGAAAGAATCGACAAAGAAAAGACCTGGTAAAGTAATGGTGCAATTCTCAGAGTGAAACACAGACTACCAAATAAGTAGAGATGATAGTGGGATCTGTACATTGTGCAGGGAGATGACACTTTACAGAGTAATTTTAAATGTCCTAAATTAGAGTGAAATAAATGCTATTAAAATAGAGATTTTGTTTTGGAATAAATTACAGCTACTTCTTAAATTAGAATGTTTCAGAACCCACATAATCTCAAAATCCCTGCAGTATGGAAGCAGGCTATTTGACCCATTGAGTCCACACCAAATCTCTGATGAGAATCCCACGCAGACTCATCCTATCCCTGTAACCCTGCATTTCCTGTCACTAATCCATCTCGCCTGCGCATCCCTGAACACTATGGGCAATTTAGCATGGCCAATCCACCTAACCTGCACATCTTTGGATTGTGGGAGGAAACCGAAGCACCCAGAAGAAATCTGCGCAGACACATGGAGGAACATGCAAACTCCATGCTGACAGTCATCCGAGGCTGGAATCAAACCTGGGTCCTGCGCTATGAGGCAGCAGTGCTGACCACTGAGCCACTGTGCCATCCATTAAGTGATAAAATGTTGTTTAGCTTAGAACAGAGAAATCAAGTAGGACAACTAACTAAGGTAAGAGGAGCAGGACAAGGAAAATTAACATGTAAATACAGTGAAGGATTGTGAAAAGGAAAAACTTGAAAAACAGACATTGCTCAGCAAGATGGGAAGGAACAAAATAACAGGCCAGAAAAGTCAATGAACGGGACATTCGTAGAGAACCTTCAAACTGGAAAGAATCGAGTATATAGATTTTTCATTATAAAGAGGCAAGGAGTGCAAAGGATAAAATTCTGCTAGATTAAGCTAAACAAATTAAGAAAAGGAAGCCAAACAATTAACTCTGGACAAACAACGCAAAACAAAATTATCAGCAATGTAGTAAAGATTAAAAACAAAATGAAAATTCAAAAGCTACTTGAAAAAGAATTGTAAGTAACATACAAAATAACTTATTATTTTACTTGAAAAAATTTGAAGAAAAAATTCTAGTTGTGGAAGATGAAGGTTTGGAGATAATTAATAAAATGCAATTTGTAACAGTGGCAGTGTAACCAGTGAATCATTAATCATTGATGTCAGTATAACTTAAAGAGAGATTACTCAATATGTTAGGGTAATTAATTAAAATCTTCGAAAAATATTCTTATTACCTGGTTGATGATATTGGTCTTCATAAGCATCCACCCAGTAAAACCTGAATACCTGCTCGCCTTCTAAACCAGTAACTAATGGCAAACGACCTGCATCTACCTGCACATCAATCACCACAGAATCATTTTCATTTCTGTCCATACGATCCCAGCAAGAAGATTCAATGAAGTTCGAGATTCTAAACAATAGGACAGAAGTTTTAAAATATGCACAACATCTTCCTTTAAAAGCAAATGCAGATTGATGGGACATCAATACATCATTTGAGAGATTTTATTTGTACTGGTACGTAGAAAGAGAGGCGACTATAAGTCAACCTGCACTACTCAAAGGCATCTAACAAGTTTACTTTCAGGAAATTACAAGTAAAAATTAAGTGTGTTAACTTTGTAACATGGATTACTGGTGAAGAGGCAAGAGAGCGTGGATGAAGGGAATACTGTCCGATTGGTGGAATGTCATGTCCCCCAGCAATCTGTAGTGAGGTCTCAGCTTTTCATTATACGAATTATTAACTAGACAACTGAATAGAGAATTATATATCCTGCCCGTCTGTAGATGTCACTAAATTAGAAGGCACAGTAGTTTGTGGTTCAAAAGGGACATCAGATTGACCAAAAAACTGGGACCAATTAGGAGGGATTGAATTTAATTTGGAAAATGCAACATTTGGATCCTGAAAGGATAAATCATAATATTTCTTTCACAGACTGTATGTGAAGAAGTAATGAGATGTAGGTGGCAATGTACACAAACCTTTATAAGCAAGCCCACATGTACAACAAGTAAAGAGACTGATGGAATGTCTGCCCAATGGCGATTAGAACAAAATAGGAAGTAAACAAAACTGTATGTTGTAGAGAGCCTTGGCTACATCACAACTGAAAAGCTGCATTTTGTTTCAGATGTACAGATTACAGAAAAATTGAAGGCCTTGTAAGGAATACAGCAAACATTTAGCTGAATAAGAACCAGGACTCAGAGGATTGAATTATGTGGACAGGTTGCACAAATTTAGCTACTATTCCCGAGACTAGTCAAATAAGAGTGCAGGGATGAGGATTCTTTTCTCTCAATAATTAATAAATTTGACTCAATTAAGCAAGTGAAGAATTGAATTATATTCTGTTTGATTGGGGTTATTCTTAAAACACTTTCTGAAAGGAAGAAAGCTGTATGAACCAGGTCAAAAAGAAGCTCCTGTCAGGGCTCAAGCTAACAAATGAGTATGCGTTTTCGAAGTGCATGCAGCATTTACTCAGAACACAGTTCTCTGTGTTTTAAATTAGTTTTATTTTGTAAGTTGACAGTATGTAACAGGCCAACATATATTAATTTTATAAGGTTAATCTGAGCTTTAATTTGTTTCGGGCATCAACAGTTATTATGGAGTCACGTGTTTTGTAATTAAAAGGCTTTGGAAGAAAATTAGATGCATCAATTGGTAAATTTATGCATTACAGTCAATCACTAGAAGTTTACACACATACCCGAAGCAGACTGAAATTATTCTACCACTGCTAAGGTATCATGGTAGGGATCTACTGTTGACGAGAACTTTGGTTGGTACAAGTGGTCTGTGGACTAGTGACCAGTTATAGATGACAAAGGCCATCTGCCTGTCAACACAATATGATTGGTTCTCAGATATCTGAACAGCCTGGGGCTGTGAAGAAGACGCAGCATAGCCTTCAGACCTCCACCAGCTCAGGAACCATCTCTGCTCTCTGGAGTAAAAGCTATGTCAAACCTGAGGAAAACCAGTTTATCCTTTCTGCAAGCAAGAACTGCTGATGTTGGAGTTAGAAACAACACAGTGTGGTCCATCTTCTTCCCCACCCATCCACCCTACCCTTCTGCGGCCAATCCCCACAGCACCATACCTGCATCCAACCTATCACCACCCTACCTACCTTTCCCCAGCTCCACACATCCTCCCTCCTGCCTCCTTAACCCGACACAACCGGTCCATCTTCTCTCCCACCTATCCGCCCACCCAACCCACTGACCAATCCCCACCACTCCTGACCTGCATCCATCTATCACCATTCCACCTACTTTTCCCCAGCCCCACCCATCCTCTCTCTGTTTATTTCCCAGCTCTCTTACCCCTCCTCATTTCTGAAGAAGGGTCCGATCCGAAACGTCAACTTTCCTGTTCCTCTGATGCTGCCCGGCCTGCTGTGTTCCTCCAGCTCCACATTGTGTTATCTTTCCTGCAAGCTGTGACTTTTAACTAATAAGTCAGACACCTTTCTATAACTATGAGCCAGCTATACTTTGGCTCCTGCAAACTAGTGAAAACCTTTGGAGAAGGTAGGCCAAGAAGCAGCATGGTGATCAACACAAGAATCATCTCAACAACGCTGTGAACAGGATCCACTAAACTGCATTTCCAGTCTTTTCCTCTGCCAATAACGCACGTTTTTATTTTGTGCATGTGTAAGGGGGAGTTTATAAAGGGGATGTGAGTTTTCAGTAATAGAGTTGTATGTCAATGGTTCATAATTGTTTATCTGTAGCTATAGTCTAATCACTTGGGATAAATATTGTTTTTTAGTACAGAAACCTAGTCCATGTTTTTTTTTGTCTGCTTGGGTCTAAAGGACAGGTAAATTGGAAAATATTTCATACTTCTAAAAAAACCTTTACCTTTTTATGATGACTCCAGAGCCACGATCTTAAAGTGGTGTTTTAGTGTCAAATAATTAATCAGGATATAATAGGAAGTGATGTCACTAAGATGACCATTGCTTTTAAAGGAACCAACCCAAGAAATGTACGCATACTGTTTGGCGTATCCAACATTTATCATAAACAGTGCATTAATAAGCCAATTAGAGTAAAGTAATCTTTCACAGTGGTTAATCAAGCAAAATTTAATAAGTGATGATTCTTAGTGCCTCAATGCACAAGGAGGAAGACGGAAGGAGAATTGCAGTCAACATAAGAGAATGAGAGTCTTCTGTCAACCAGTATTGCAAACTGGTATTTCAGAGTGAAAAACTACTAATTTTATTGAGTATTATTTCTTTTGTACTCATGTTGATGAATTTAATAAACTCTAGAAAACATCTGAAAACAGCTGTATCTGCAATGGATCTTGTAACGTGTCAGGATTAGTAAACTTTTAGACTGGTTCTCTCAAACTCAGAACTTAATTGTAATTCACTGAGGTCTTACAAATCCAAATGAACTTCAGTTTTACAACAGATGATCTAATTGATGCCTTTAAATCATAAAAAGGTCAAATTGGGTACAAGTGGAGAAATTACTTCTTAAATTAGGGGAAGCTGGAAGAAGAGGGCATTATTTCAAGTGGTGAAATTATGAAACATTATTCACAGAAATCTGGATCACTAGAATAAAATACTGGGTCAACTTAAATTTTCAAAATTCAGATTGATCGATTCTTATTATGTAAGGATGTCAAGTAACATACAGTGACAGGGTGTTAATGGATTTAACGTATGGATCAGTCATGATCTAACTGAATGGTGAAACAAGCTCAAGAGCTGAATGGCACATTCATGATCCTAAGAGGCAATAATTATCTCAAGTCACAAAGCAAAGCTTTGAACAAAATTAAGCGGCCAACATTCCCAAAGACAATGGGTAGGATACAACAGGGAACCATCACAGGTGAATCAGGAAGCCAATATCAGTATGAAACTTACTTTCTAAATAACAAACTATTGATGCATTATTAGGCTAATGCAGTCAAAACATGAAAATGCTTTTACGGCTTGCCATATGAAGAAACCAAAATAAATTTACTGACACCAAATGTGCATTTTGATCCGTTATCTAAACTATGGAACTTATTTTATGTCCTTTAACTTCTTTTCTTAAAGCAGATCAGACACTAAAATAGCCAGAACGTCAACCTATTATTCAGATCAAAGCCTGTACCCAACACCATCACCTGCATATGTCTTATCAGAACTGCTTAAACTTAATGGGGGAATTCTCAACAGCTTCCTATAGTCTGAAAGAACTTGCAAGGTCATCTGCATTTCACTCAAGACATCATCTTATTAAAGGAGTTGAAACAAAGAGGAATGACAGTCTGGGGAATCATTAAGGAACTGATTACGACTTAATTGCCCTGCTGGTGCTCATCAGTGAAGCGGCATGGCATTTTGGCAGATAACACTTCATTCACTGATCACTCCTAACTGTGGCCAGCAGAACAGGAGTAAACAATTATTGCAGAGGATTTTGTGTACTGGTAAAAGGCAGGCTCACCTTTTGCTGTTCATTTGCTGCTGGTGGTTTGAAGAGGACATTCGAAACACATCAGGTGACATATAAATATATAAATAAACATACATCAAGACTTTGTCACTACTCTAGCAAAAGGAATCTGGAAATTCTCAGTTAAAAAGAGATGTGTGCTACTTTAACTGATCGAAGATCTTACAAGAGTCTCCAGGAGAAAGGAATGTTTGTTCGTGCACATCTTGTTGGGTATCGTTACTTTGATCTACAGGACAAGAGGCTTGGCCCAGCAGTAACAGCTGCTGGAAGAGAACAGGACTAGAAAGCAAAATGGTCTCCTTCCTCTTGTGGGTGTAGGGCTTCCATCCTCCTTTAGATCTCCTCAAGAACCTCCAGTACCATGGCTGAGAACCCATATGCCCAATATCATGGTCTAAGTAATCCTGAAACCTACTGCTAAGTGTCAACCAGTTGCTTCACAGCATTCATGGAAGTGATTGTGGGGAGTCCACGGATGCTCAGCAATGTTCCTTCTAACATCTCTCTGCACAGACCACATTACACAGATTTCTGCGTGGCTGTACATGAATGCATCTTAAAGGGAGCTTTGGCAGGCTGTTAGCTCCCTCTACAATCATTTCCAGTTTCCTGCCTGGCCACACACACACAGCACTACGGAATGATCCACAAAAAATATCTTCTAATTGGTATACGAGTGCTAAACCTACAGGAGTCTGGCTTTGGTATCTCCAGCAAAGTTGCCTGCTGAATACAGACTTTCAGGCATGTCTTATTAGCATGGCTTGCAGTTAATGCCAGTTTCATCCTTTCACCAAAATATTTTTACTGTAATTCTCAAATGATGTTTGCACCAATCATCTTACATTAATGGTTTGTCTTCGTCATCTGGTTCTTTCACTTTGATATTTTTTTCTGGTTCCATCTCTACTTTCACAGCAGACTCGGTTTCCATGGGCTCATCAAAGTCATCGTCATTCAACTCCATTGCATAGGGCTCATCTACAAATCAAAATTCACAACTTTAAACAAACAAGAACTTAAGCAATACAGTAATGGAGCTATCAGATTTAACAAAGGGATCTCTGATCATGTTCCCCTGCTGTACTTTCTCCATACGTTGTCAGACTTGCTGAGTATTTCCAGCATTTTCTGTTTTTAATTTCAGATCTCCGCCATCTGCAATACTTTAAGAACATAGAAAATACTTTTGTTGAGAGGTTAAAAAAGAAAAACTCCTTAAAATGTCTGCCACTGCTTATCCATTGTCTTACTTCTTAACCTATTTCCCAGTCACTGTAGCTAACTCTACCTTCGTACTTTTGTAATAACCTTGACTTAAGGTTAAGGCATTCATTTCAGGCCCAAGTTTCACAAATTGAATATGAAATTCTATCATGTGATAATCACTCTTTCCAGAACTTCACTAATTAATCGTTAATTAATTGTCTCCTCCTAATTAAAAACTGTCTTGAATGCCCTCTTTGAAGCTTACCTCGAAGTGTACCTTTGCCAATTTGATTCATCCAATCTGTATGAAGATTAAAATCACCCACAATTATTGCTGTACCTTTTCTATGGACACCCATTACTTCCCTGTTTTATATTGTAGCTACTGTTAAAAACTGCTTCCAACAATGGCGTATTTCCCTTGCTATTTCTCATCTCTATCTGATTCTACATTCTGACCTTTCTCAGCCAAGATCATTTCTCATTACTGTTCTAAGCTCATCTTTATTAGCAGGGGCTACTATACCTCTTTTTATCTGAAATGTAAATACTCTTTGTGCATTCAGCTTCTAGCCTTGGTATGCTTGCAAGTACATCTTTCTAATGATGGTCACATCGTACGTACTTATTTCTATTTGTACTATCAATTAATTTATCTTCTTATGAATACTAGGTGCATTCAGATGAAGATCCTCTAATTCCGTCCTTTTACTATTTTTCTATACTCCCACCCTGTGTGCTGCTGTATTTTTATGTTTGCGTGGTCTGTCCCTTGCTGTTACACTCTGGTTATCATTGCATATATTGCTAACCTGCTATACTGTCTTATCATTTCTCCTCAAGTTGCTAAATTTCATCATCCCTGAACTCTTCCATCAACTATACCCTGCCCACCCACCACTTAAGCACCGCTATTTAACATCAAGCCTGCTTTATGGTCTGAATTATTTGACTTGTAGGACACTGGTCCAAGCGTGGTTCAAGTGAAGATCAACCTAACATACAAGTATAGCTCCCTCTGTCCGGAGAACTGGTGCCAGTGCTCCGTAAACAAAATTCCATTTCTCCCACACTAATCTTCAAGGCATATATTCAGCTCTCTGACTTTATTTATTCTGTGCCAATTTACTTCTGGCTCAGATAGCAATCTAGACATTATTACCTTTGTGGTTTCTTTGTAATTTAGTTCCTTATACTCCCTTAGGAGAACCTTTGCTTAGTCCTCCCCATGTTGTTGGTATCAATTTGGACCACAACAATTGGATTCTTCACCTCCCACTCCAAGTTCCTCTCCTGCCCAAAGACGCGCTCTTAATGTCATCAGTCAATAATACAGTCCTTGGGACTTATGTACTTGGTTGCAGGGAACAATAGCCATTCCTGAATTATACAGTCCTTATTCATTACAAAAGAGCAACTTCTATTGTTTCACACAACATGTCCTATGTTTTGTCTGGTGTGAGCATCAAACAGAGAAGCAGTCTTGTGTTGTGCATCCATGCCCACTAAGAACTAGACAATGGATTACAAAAGCTCTACTGGTGTACATTCCAACGTCAATGGCTCTTTGCAGCATGGCACTGTGGTCAGTTTAATCATCCTCACTGCTCCTGTCCACATCACCTGCAAGAATATGAACTTGTCTGGATGAATGGAAGTGCTGAGGTTTCACTAGAGCTCCCTTGTGGATCACCATATCTGCCATTCGATGCTTCATATTCATAATTTCCTGCCCTGACCTTTGACCAAACTGAAGTACTTAACTTAAAGGGGTTTAATTGCTTTCTGGAACAAGGAATTTGTACCTCCCTGATGCATTGTCATAAGCTCAGACACCAGCACATCAACTCCGTGCCAAAATTCCTCCAGCCACAGACACTTGCTCTTCCATTAATTGTTCAAAAGCATTTCTTTTAAAATTCAGTGATGTAATGGTTCACAGTGTCATGAGCAGCTAAAAGTTAATGGGCATCAGGCTCGACTTTCCCTGCTACTGAAGTTGCACTGACTAAATTTACTCACTACACAGAGATACCAAAAGGTTAGTACTCCACAAGGAAAGATTCAGTGCCACAGACCCACAAATAGGCCAAACAATCAGTGGCACTGGCAGACCTCTTAAAATCCATTCTTAGTGGGCATGGATCCACAACCATTAGACAAAAGAGCAGAAGTTAGGCCATTCAGTCCATTGAGTCTGCTCTGCCATTCAATCATGGCTGATAAGTTCCTCAACTCCATTCTCCTGCTTTCTCCTTGTAACCCTTGATCCCCTTGACAATCAAAAACCTATCTATCTCCGTCTTAAATATACTCAATGACCTGGCCTCCACAGCCTTCTGTGGCAGTGAATCCCATAGATTCACCACTCTCTGGCTGAAGAAGTTTCTCCTTATCTCCGTTCTAAAAGGTCTTTCCTTTGCTCTAAGGCTGTGCCTTTGGGTCCTAGTCTCTCCTACCAATGGAAACATTTTCCCAACATTCACTCTGTCCAGGCCATTCAGTATTCTGTAAGTTTCAATTAGATCCCCCCTCATCCTTCTAAACTTCTCTGTTTAATGCTCACACCAGAAAAAATACATAGGACATGCTGTGTGAAATAATAGAAGTTGCTCTTTTGTAGTGAATAATGGGATGTTGATGCTGCAGCATACTATTTGCCTGACATTAAAGATGAAACTTTAGGGTAGGTAGTCGGAGTTCCACTTTGGTGAAACAGCACCGGCAAATTAACCCAAAGATAGTTTGTCTCTTTTTCCTGGATTCTGTGCCTCTTCACAATGCTACGGTGTATGAGTGGTAAAAGCCCTTAGAGATTGAAACCCTAGCTCCTGAACTTGAACAATTGTCTGTTCCATTTCATGTAGTTTGGCGTAGTAATTGAAAAGACGTGGAAATATGCCAGCAATAGCCAGCGTATGATCCTGAAAAACTGGTAAAATAATAGACAATAAAACAAGACTCAGGCACAGAAGATAACTGTCGAGATTTTGTGGCAGTTAGGAAAAAGAAACATGGGATCTGTTGTGTTTGCCATCTTTACCCCTCTGAAAATGAAAGCAGCTTTTGGAGTTTATACATGCACAGTTAAATGCGGAAATCCAGGAGGTGTTGTCAGTACTTCAATGTTCCTCTATATGGAATGGTTACTGGTCAGGAATCAATGCACTCTCAGCAAAAGGATATTACCTCATCTCAATTCCCTCATTTTCCCTGTCGCCTTGCAAGTTTTCCCTAGTCATATCCTCAAGTTAAAAAAAAAGTGCCAAAAGGTTAGAGTCAGCATCTGTGATTAATTAGAATGGTTAAAGAATAGTATCAAACTAAAAGAAAAAAATATAACTGTAGAAAGACGAGCGGAAGGTCAGAAGATTGAACTGAATATTTTTTTAAAAATGTCAAGAATGACTAAAATACTAACAAGGAGTGAAAAATTAGAGCACAAGAGAAAGCTAGCCAGAAGTATAAAAACAGATAGTAGGAGTTTTGATAAATATTTTCCTTAAAACAAAAGAGAAGAATTAACAAAAGCTTGGACCCTATATAAAGTCAGTCTGAAGAACCAATTATGGAAAATAAAGAGATTGGAGGGGAAATTGAGCAGGTATTATGCATCAATATTTACTATAGAAGATATAAGTAATTGTTCACAAGCAACTATAAATCATGAAAAGGAAGGGAAGAAGGAACTCAGGAAAACCACAACCACCAGAGAAGTGGTGCAACAAAAACTGTTGGAGTTGTGGCTTGGCAAGTGCTTGGGTTCTGATGATCTTTGTCCATAGGTCTTAAAAGAAGTAGGTAGTGAGAAAGTTGATGCATTGATCTTAATTTTCAAGATTTGCATTGATTTCAGAGCAATCCAATTACATTGGAAAATAGAAAGTGTAACTGCATTATTACAGTCACAGAGTCATACAGCACAGAAACAGACCCTTCAGCGTAACTCATCTATGCTGACCAGGTTTCCTAAATTGAACTAGGCATTTTCCTGTGTTTGGCCCATATCCCTCTAAACCTTTCCTATTCATGTACCCGTCCAAATGTCTTTTAAAGATGTTGTAATTGTACCCACCTCTACCACTACCTCTGGCAGCTCATACCAAACACACACACCCTCTGTGTGAAAATGCTGTCCCTCAGGTCCCAATTAAATCGTTCCCTTCTCACCTTAACCTATGCCCTCTAGTTTTGCACTCCTCTACCCTGGGGAAAAGACCTTGGCTATTCACCTTATCCTTGCCCACCATGATTTTATAAAACCTCTATAAGGTTACCCCTCAGCCTCTTGTGCTGCAGGGAAAAAGTCCCAACATATCCAGCCTCTCCTCATAACTCGAACCTTCCAGTCTTGGTTACATCCTTATAAATCTTTTTTGCACCCTTTCCAATTTAATAACATCCTTCCCATAGCAAGACGACCAGAAAGGTATGCAGTATTTCTGATGTGGCCTTATACAGCTGTAACATGACGTCCCAACTCCTATACTAAATGCTCTGACCGAGGAAGGCAAGCGTGCCAAACCTTTCTTTATCACGCCGGCTACCTGTGATGCCACTTTCAAGGAACTATGTACCTGCATGCCTCGGTCTCTCTGTTCGACAACACTCCCCAAGGCCCTGCCATTAACTGTGTAAGTCCTGTCCTGGTTTGTCTGAACAAAATGCAACACCTTGCATTTATCGGAATTAAACTCCATCTGCCATTCTTTGGCCTGTTGGCCCAGTTGATCAATATCCTGTTGTACTCTTAGATACTTTCTTCACTGTCCACTATACCAAGCAATTTTGGTGCCATCTGCAAACTTCCTAACCATGCCTCCTATATTCTCACCTAAATGTCTTTTAGAAGTCCACGCTGACCATATCAACCATATTAATCCTCAATCCTCTGAGGAAGAGTCACCAGGCCTGAAACATTAACTCTGAATTTTTCTTCACAGATGCTGAGCTATTCCAGCAACTTCTGTTTTTGTTCCTGATTTACAGCATCCACAGTTCTTTCAGTTTTTATTTTGTCCTTTAAGTTATTCATCTCACTCCAAAAGCCCCTAAAAAGATTACACTTCAACGAATGACATGGAACTGATATTTTTTTAAATGTTCACTAGACTCAATTACTGAAAACCCTTCAGACTTGAAAAATTATTTTTATACTCATAGAATTTCGCATTTCTCTGTTTTGAAGAAAACTAAATTTTTGATTATTCAACCATCTTTACTGTGCGTACATTTCATTGATATTAAATGACATTAAAAGTGAAGGTTGGTCCCTGCATTTTACTTGGCTATGAGAATATTTTAATGTGATTGGTTGTTTATCCACATAATAACATCACTGTTGCTACACTTCTCAGAGAGCTCCTTGGTTGGTGCCAGATTCAAACTAACTTTGGGAAAGGGAAGACCCATGCCATAAAGATTGTTAAATCTTTAACTGCAGCTCTGTTTGAGCTTAGCGGCGAGTAATGTTCCTTAGTCGTTGACCATGAAGTCATTTTTTTAAAAAAGCAGCTCTTCAGCAACAATATCTGAATGAGTAGTAAATCTGTACCAGTTAAGAACACAGGCATGAACCGAAATGCTCCTACCTAGGTCCCCCATGTTTTAGAAGCAGGGTAGAGATATGTACTAATAATTTCTACATGATTGCACCTTTAAACTACACAATGTAACAGTCACATTTCCCTGACTCCGTTTATCCATTTCTCCTTGACAACTGTAAAACTCAGTTCCAAAGTGACTTCTAAATTAGCAATCACAATGCTCTACTTGTATGATGTGCTACAAAAAGGGATGCATCTTAAATTAGTTGACATCAATATTTTCATCTAATTATACGGCGCTGACCTTTTTCACAAAGCATGTGGTGCAATTAAAAATCCCACAACAAGCAATACATTTCCTAAGCTTTATTCTACCACCATCTAGTGGCCAATGAATAATAAAAATACATGCAATAGTCAAACTTCACATATTGCCGCTCTTCTCTGCTGATACCAAGCACAGACACAATAATACCGAGAACACTGAAGGTCAATGAAATCATTTACCACATTCCTCTTTATTTAGAATCTAGTTCAACTTCCATCGCTTCACCCTATTACCCAACCCATCTCTTTGCACAAAGAGGTAGTAAGAACTGCCGATGCTGGACTCAGAGATAACATAGTGTGGAGTTGGAGAAACACAGCAGGCCAGGCAGCATCAGCTTTCCTGCTCCTCTGATGCTGCCTGGCCTGCTGCGTTCCTCCAACTCCACACTGCGTTATCACCTCTTTGCACAATGCATTTTTTTAAAATTCATACTATAAATAGTTATTTTGTTGACAGTAAATGAACTACCTTTAAAATAACCTACGTGAAAAATGCAGCACAAGAGACGAGTGCGGGATTCTGCTTAACCTCCTCCCAAGGTCCCAATCATCTCCACTATTTTCAGCCAATACTGGTTTATTCTGCGTGATTTTAAGGAGAATTAAACAGAGATCATGGGGTCTGATAATGCACTGACTGTAGAGCTTAAGCCATATCTACCAGGGTTAGTTGCTCCCCAGCCAAAATGTGCCAGTACAGCTATTACACTGGTACCTACCTGACAACATGGATGGTTGCCAAGGTAGGTCCTATACACATAAATAAGTCTAACTTGGCCAATTATTATGCCAATTTGGGAGATCCCTCCAATACCATCAGTGAAGTGACAGTAAGAGTCAACAGTGACACCTACTCATAGACACACTGTTCAGGAACAGAGCTGCAAATCTGCTCATAGCCTTAAGTTAAACAAAGGGAAAATAAAATGTTAATTTGCCTGAAGGGACGCAGCTTTGAATCGGGCACCATGAGTCTTATCGACACAGAGGTCAAAAGGGTTGGCTGGAGTCCAATTCAACATAAAGGATGATGTTTGTGAGTTTGGGACTGTTTCAGCCACAAAGCATTACTGCAAGAGATCCACAAGACAAACATTTTTAACTACATCAATGACCTTCTCACAATTACAGGCACAAAATTGAGGCCATTCTCTGACAAATTCAGCATTCAGCTCCATTTACAACTCCTCAGAAATGAAGTGGTTTACAGCTAGAATGACACAAAGTTAGCTATAGCCTTACAAGGTCAGCTAACATTTATACTTGTAAGCTCCAGGTAAGGAATCCTCACTCATAATTACCATTTACAAGAGAAAACCTAACCATGTCTCCTTTCCCTTCACTAGCCAGCATCACCTTAAGTAGCACCAATACATAACCGTTCCAATACTCTGGGAGCAGAACAGAGCCTGGATACTTCGCTGCAGGTGACTCTCCCCATAACACACACAAAGCCTATCTGTTGTCTGCAAAGCTCAAGTCAGGAGGGTGATAGCACATACTCCACTTACCTGGATGGGTGATGCTTCAACAAGCCTAAGCACCAACGGGGATGGATGAATACCTGACCACACTGTTATTTCTCTCCACCGCTTCAACACTGTGGCTACAGTATATATGGACCACACGTTGCCATGCACTTCATTTCATCTACAGCTCCTACTCCAGAAGCCTTTACTACCATGAAAGACAGAGCAATCATGTTGGAAACAGCATTACCTTAAGTTCCCCTCCAAGTAATATGCCATTCTGAAATGTTGTGGAGTTAATGTCCTGGAATTCCCTAACCAACACTACATCAACACAAGAACTGCAACAAGTATAGAAGGTCTATCACTGCTCTCCTTGAAGACAAGAAGGCTAAGAGGAGATTTGTCAGGGGTTTTCAAAATCATGAACAGGCTGGATAAGAGTACGTAGGGAATCATTGTTCGCGCTCATAAGAAGAACAAAACAAGAGGTTTTAGATTTAGATAAACGTGCAAAAGAAGCAAGTATGATGTCAGCAAAAACTTTTTCACATAGTGAGTAGTTAGGATATGGAATGCAGTGCCTAGAAACAAAGTGAAAGCAGTTTCAATTACTCGTTTGATGAGCCGGTTCAGGCATGATGGGCCAAATGGCCTCCTACTGCACTGTAACAATTCTGCAATCACCATCTTCTCAGGGTAAATTCAGACAAGAGATAAATGTGGCCTTTCCAGCAATGATCTAACCCCAAGAACAATCAAAATAAAAAGCACAAGAAGAACAGACAGATAAGCGTGAGTTCTGCGGGACATGCATACAAAAATAATTTGCAATCAGGATGGTAAAATTTCAGGATGGGAATAAAAATACAAGGTAAATCAGGTCAGTTAGAACTGAGTTAAGGAGGAAAATGAATTATTAAGAGAGTGCACCAAAGTCACATACACTTGGATAACAGGACCACAATGTGCATCAGACTCCGAATAAATTTAACACTTTTCAATTAGGAATTAGACAAAAAAAAAACCTGGTCAGCCAGGTATTGTATTAGAGGGCTGCTCATCTGCCTGAAACAAGGCCACAGCATTAATCTGTCCAAAAAAATAAATGGAGGGGGTAAATTCATACCTTCAACAACTTTCTCTTCTTTTACGGTCATAGCCTTTGAACTATCCTTCTTCACCACTGTTGCCAGTCTCTTTTCCTCTTGCTTCACTGACACCTGTTTGACTGAGGATCTCACCGGAGCAGATTGGACAGAGTCCACAACACTAACCACCTCTTCAGTAGCAACTGTTTTCCTTGCGGAACTGTTCTGGTAATTAGAATCGAGGGCTGGAGAAATCTGAGGGTTCAAAAGTAAATTCAAACCAATTTTACTTTGGAAATAGTGAAGGACTGAGAATTGCCTGAAGACCTATGATGCTGAAGTGATGCAGCATGAGAATTACTATTAAAGGGTAAATTATTGGCATGGGGTGAAATGGGTCTTCCAAGATTCTTCTCATATGGAGCCTTCAATCTCTTCCTTCTAAATGTCTTTCTCTCCAGTTGGTTGCTATACCTATTGCTTGTTTACCCAAACATTCACTCTTCATTCTTCCTTAGACTAAATTACCATCACCACCACCAACCTCCCCCTAGCCTGGCCCTTAAACACAACTCCATAAGATATCATCTGCTACCCACCTCACTGTAGTACGCCTTGCTGGTCAGTCTGCCCTTCCTTCAATAATTTACACAACTTGAGTTGACTATGATTTTAAGGGGAGTCAGAGGTGTAGTGATAATGTCAATGGGCTGGTAATTCAGAACCCAGGCTATTAAAGTCATAGAGGTATACAGTACAAAAAAAAATTGGCCCTTCGTAGCCCAACTCGATCAAGTTTTCTAAACCTAACTAGTCATATTTTCTTGCATTTGCCCATAGCTCCCTAAACCTTTCCTATCCACGTACCTCTCTAAATGTCTTTTAAACATTGTAATTGTATCTGCCTCTACTGCTTCCTCTGGCAGCTGGTTCCATATACACACCAACCGGTGTTTGAAAATGTTTCCCCTCTCACCTTAAACCTATGCCCTCTAGTTTTGGACTCCCCTACCCTGGGAAAAAGACTGTGGCTATTCACCTCATCAATGCCCCTCAATTTTATAAACTTTACAAGGTCAACCCTCAGCCTCCTGCGCTCCAGTGAAGAAGTCCCAGCTTATTCAGCCTCTGCTTACAACTCAAACCGTCCAGTCTCAGTAACATCCCTGTTAGTCTTTTTTACACTCTTTACACTCTTTCCAGTCTAATGACATCCTTCCCATAGGCACAGCATGACGTCCCAACTCGTCGACCTATGATGCCACTTTCAAGGAACTATGTGCCTGCATCCCTAGGTCTCTCTGACAACAAACTCCCCAGGGGCCTACCATTAATCATATAAGTTCTGCCCCGGTTTGTCTTACCAAAATGCAACTACTGGTCACATCCCTCTGTACCTCAATAATTGACCTTCAATCAGAAAGAACCATCACATGTTATGGTATGAAGATGAGACAAACAGCTCACTATCTGACCATAAAATAGCATGTAGTTTAGTTCCACACTTTGCAAAATCCTTTTTTTTTGAAGTTACATTTTACACAAGCGAATTATAATAATATTATGGACAGTGGCCACTTCTTCAATCACAATGATTCAAAATATCATTAGAACATCCAGTCATCATTAAGGAGATATTTTAATTAGATGCTAAGAAAATGCAGATAACATTCATAAAGACATAAAAAGAACTAGTGGGAACATTTGTCCCAGGTCAACAATCAGACACAATCACAATGGAACAACGTCAGACATTTTATTGCTCACTTTCCAACTCGGGTGATGCTACCCCTTTAACATTTGCCGAATATATTTACGGAGGTACCTTGAGGGTGGGTGGCCTGACGGAAAATGGATTTGCTGATACTCCAGCAGGTTTCTTCCTCTTTAAAATGACAGCAGGTGGTGGTGTAGGTATTAAAGGTGCCTATTAAATTCAAACATTCATCACTTAGGAATACACAAACAATTTGTATTGAAAAAACACAAGAAACAGGAATAAGCAATTCGTGGAACATAATTACCTAAACTAATTTAAAAATGATTTGGGCCCTTACCTCTGCATGAAGATCATTAAGTATATCTCCCAGTAGATCATCCTTAGACAGATCAACATCTTTCTATAAAAATAATTACAAAAATAGAAAAAAAGATCATTTACAACATGCAACTCTTGACCTCTTCAGAATAGTCAGTGTCATGGCCTTCTCCACAACCAATCATAAGTTGTGTTTATAGATTCTCTGGTGCAGAAAAAGTGTCTCAAGGTTCAAAGTTTTGGCAAAGATCTGTAGCTCAGGTTGCGGGTGAGGTTGTTGATTTGCTTGCCGAGCTGGCTTGTTCTCGTTCAGACATTTCGTCACCATGCTAGGTGACAACATCAGTGAAGCCTCTGATGAAGGAGCAGTGCTCTGAAAGCTTATTATTTCAAATAAACCTGTTGGACTATAAACTGGTATCATGTGACTTCTAATTTTGTCAGAAGCAGAGCAAAGGACAGCTTGAAGTGAGTGTATGCTGGGATAAAAATTAGGGATGGCACACAAGCAGTTCTTAAAACAGAGTCAGTAGATATAACATGTCGGATGTTATCAGTAAACATGTGGAAGCTGACCCTGTGTCTGTAGATGGTGCTGCTTGGAGGCAGTGAGAGATTTGGGGCAGTGGTTGTTTGGGGGTTTGGGGGGGAGGTGGGGGGGCGGGGTGGTGGGGGAAGTAGAAACAGGCAAGGATACATCTTTGAGCGACCCTGGAAATAAAGGCACTAGAGCGAGAACAGAAGGAACTGCTGGAGCTACCATTGGTAGCCAGGTGTGGAACCAAGTGTCATGCCAAGTTGGATAACAATAAGGCACTACAGGAGGTTCATATGGTCAAAAATCACAAAAGCCTTACAGTGGTCAAGAAGGAAACAAGGGTGCACCAAAGTGACAAACATGAAGGGTATCATTTGTGATCAGCACTAGTTCAGTACTCTGGGGAAGCAGAAACCTGATTGCAGAGGTCCAAACCTGGAACGTTAGGAAAGGTAGCACCGATTAAAGAGATAAGAAATCATTCAAGTACTCCGCAAAAAAAAATCAGAGGTGGACTGACAATTTTCAAGAACGAGAAGATAAGAATCGGGTTTTCAAGGAGGCAAGTATGATTATGGTAATTTTGAAAGGGAGGACAACAATACTGGAGGAGTGGAAACAACTTATAATGTTAGCGTGCAATGAGAACTTGAGTGGTCAGCAATTTAATGGAACGACGAGGGAAGCAAGAAGTGCTACTCTTGGGCAAGATGATCACAGAGGTTTGACTAGATGGAAACTTGGAGAAAAATTTGGTTTTGGTGATCCAGTGGAGGTGGCATAGCAGGGGATGAAGTGAATGAGGCAAGGAGGTAGCTAAACATGTTGTCTCACCCTGAGTAACAAAGAAATGCATAAATTCATCTCATTTGTTGTTGGAGGTGAGGGTAGAGATATGAAACCAACAGTTATCTTTGCTCACTAGGATAATCTGAGAGTTGCTGCCACTTCAGAGCTAGGAAAGTGAGGCCTGTTAGACCTAAAGCATCAGATATCCTCAAATCTAAATCACTCCGATTTAAGTAAGTGATCAAGATTAGACACAGAAAAAGCTACACTAGGATCTAGCACATGTCGAGGCAGGGCTAACGGAGATGTTGAAGAAACTGACAGTTGCAGAACTATCATGACTAATGAAGCGCCAAAGATCAGATTAGTTTGGAGCTTGAAAGTGACTGAGTGAGAAAAGATTATCAATACAACTAATACTTTTCCTTCCTCTATCAGAAGCTAGGACATAAATTCCTCTGGAGACAAGAGTCATACTTCACCCAAAACATTCACTCTTTTTCTCTCTTTACAGATGCTGTCAGACATGCAGAATATTCCCACCGCCTTCCATTTTTATTTCAGATTTTCAGCATCCACAGTATTTTGCCTTTATTAATTATATCATTAATGCTATTGTGCATTGATCCACAGCAAGCATGTCTCTGCAAAATGTCCCTGGGGTGTTCTGGTCCATGTACTGTATTGTAGAAACCAGCAGAGAAACAAAACTTATCGAGAGACAGTGTAATTTAAATCATTGCTTGCTGAAGCAAAGAAGTAATGGTATCTTATACAGATCATAAGGTAGGTCAATTCAGGTACTGGTATCCAGATCTAGGTGGCTTACTTTAGGAAATCTGTGGAAGCCTTGCAGGATGAAGAAAAGATCCATAACTGTATCAGGGAAAAGAAAAAAAACAGATACCACAGAACTCAAGGAAATTTCATTACAGTAAACAGGAGGTGAGGTCATCATATAAATAGAAAATTTAAGTAAATAAAAAATTGCACCAAAACGAGAGGGGGATTTGGATCAGAAGGATGAGCTTAACGGAGGCTGACAAGGACACAAGAAAAGATATGGTGCTGAATGCAAAATTCACAATAACTTCCAAAATAAAAGAGGAGCAGATAAGTTCATCAGAAACAAAAAGAAAATGGGGAATACAACTACACGGTCAGTGTTCAGAGTTCCTGCATAGATGAGTTGTGCTTAATAGCCTTCTACATGCAATGAGGTTTATTCTAAAAGTTGGAATATAATTAGACAGGATTCAAACTCATAAGTCCAGTTCTCTACAACTAAAAAGGGAAATTATCTTCTTTTTTGGCAAAACTAACAGCCAAAAATCCAATTTGTTCCAAAATCTGAAATACGTTTTGAAGATGCAGCTGGACCACAGAGAATATATGGGATGTTCAATTTGAAAATACTCAATGCAAATTGGGCTAATAATGGGTTGTAGCATCAAAGGATGCCAAAGGGTCTTTTGGAAAGGATTCAAACTGATGTGTGGTTGGCTGCACCTTATTGCTCCACCACTTGAGGTTTAACATCAGATTGGGTGCCTTGTTGTTCCCTCAGTACCTCTAATAATAAAAATTAACTAACCAATCAGGTTTTGTTCCTTTAAATTAACCAACAAAACCATGATTCATGAGTTCCTCACCTACAGCAAGGAAGGCAGTAGAGCCTGCTCAACTCCAACAGTCAAAAAGGGAAATTCACACAAAGATCGAAAAACTTTACCGCACTTGAGTACAAACTAATCCTTCTCTAAATATATTACGCTGGAAAACTGATAAGTCATTCAAGTTCTTTTAATGGACATTAAGGACACAACTGATCTGGAAAATTTTCAACAATTCTTAATTTTTTAAATTTCCATTTATCTGAAATCCTCATGTCTCCAGAATATATAGCAAGAGGGGAAAATTCTGCACAAGTCAAGTTAGCAAAGAAAGGCAAGGGAATTTAAGTTGTCCGAAACACATTCAGAAAATTAACAATTTAATGCACAATTCCACATAATAGCCCATTGCACATAAATCGAGGTTGGCACACAAATCTCTATCTTCAAAGACTGAAAATGGGAACACCCCATATCAGATTTTTAAAAATTGCATTTTGCTTCTGCAAGCTTGTGAAGGACAGGCTGCCAACAGATTGTGTAAAAAGGACAAGAGGAGGAAAACGAAAATCCAAAAGCTTAGGAAAAGCAGGAAACACAAATCTCATTTACTCTAAAGAGATTGTGCCATACCTCAACCTTCTTCTTGGTTGTGCTGGCCAAAAACATGGATTTGATGTTATTAGGCTTTGAAACCAGTATATTCTTCACATTTTTCTTCTCTTTCTTTGTACTGGATCTTCCTTTGTCTATAAGGACAGACAGTAGGAGACAGGTTTTAGATACTACAACAAAAAGACAACATTTAAATCAAAAACAGAATTTGCTGGAGAAATTCCAGTATCTGTGGAGGGAGAAAAACAAAGTTAATGTTAAGTCTGATATGACTCTTCTTCAGAACAGGTAATATTTAAAGTTTTGAGAATATGACCAATGATCCACTCAAAAATAAAAGTAATGAGAAACATAACAACCTACATTGCTGTAGCAACTTTAATGTAATAAAACATTGCAACAAAATGTACATCAAAACTAAAATGGCATGGACACTGGAAATCTGAAATTATTAAAACGTTAGTACTATTCAGCAGGTCAGGCAGTACCCGTGGGGAGAAATTTGGAACTGCTGTCAGTTTCAGGCAAGCACCCGGATTCTGCACTTGTTTAAAAATAGTGACTATTTTCTAATTTCTTTGAGTTCTGATGCAAGATCATTGACCTGAAACACTAACTCTGTTTCTCAACTCAGACTTGCTGCCTACTGAGTACTGGCAGCATTCTCAGTTCTTACTCTTTAAATGCTTACCTTTGTCTTTTGTATCGAAGACATCTTCCTCCAAATCATCATCAAAAATTTCTCGACCATCTTCCACATAACCAACACCATCTGTCAAAGACAAAATGATCAGGTATTTGACAAAAACAGTGGAAAAGTCTCCTTTAAAAGAACAGGAATTTGCACAAAGGAAGACAATGAAGTTTAGCATCTACCATCATCGACTATCCAGTCATCATCCTGTCGTTCACATACAAGCTTAGAGTATTGATCTTCATCAAGTTCCTCATAAACATTTGAAATCTTTTCAACCTGAAAGACAATAGGTTCCACACTATGTTATACCCCATGGGAAAAGAATTGGATGTAACCATACAGAAACAAGATCCAAATCAGCACAGAAGTGCACTTTAGAAAGAAACCAAAACTAATTACTTCATACAGTTCTGAATGCTGTGAAACAATGTAATATTCAGGATTTTAGATCAAATCTACAAAACAGACAGTCAACCCTTGGCTACAGAATCTTCTACAATTACTATGGATACTGTTTCTCCAACAAGAAACCAGTCAATTGACATCAACTACATGAACTTGATCTCCTTTTCAACACAAACAGGGAAGATAGTACTATGGAAATTTTATGGTTCAGGTTGAGTTAAGATACTTTTCATTAGCCAGAAATACAACTCCTCCCATCCAATTTTTATAGAAAAATTGAAATTAACAACTTTACCTCATATTTTATTTTCTCACCAGCCTTGGCCTTCTTCAGGCGTTCCAGTGCTGCAACTCGCCCTACTTTTTCCTTACGATTACGTTTTGAGCGTGTTACTGCCAAGCCACACTCGTCAGCACCATCTGAAAAATTAAATTTGAAATTAGATCATAAGTTAACTCACACTGACATGGGGAGTAGATGGACTCTATTTCGCTTCAAAAGTGCCAACATAAACTCGATGGGCCAAGCAGAAATGTATGTTATTGAAGGCGGTTATGATTCCATGAGCTTCATTTCATACTGTTGCAAATATCTGGTTCACAATTTGTGTGTTATAAGTTTCGGTTGTGGGAGTTAAATTGGAGAAAATGGGACAAATGCAATTAAAGCAAGCTTGAAGTCTGTGACACTGGAAAGGTAGGGGCCACATTAGCTTGAAAGGTTACTAGCTAGAAAGGCAATAGCTATAAAACAGTGAAAGAATGCAAGATGTGATGTTTGCAATCCTTACAGTAATGGGAATCCATAGTATTACAGAATCCCTAGAGTGCGGAATGAGACCTTTTGTCCCATGGAGTCCGCACTGACCCTCCAAAGGGCATCCAACCCAGACACACCCCATACCTTATTCCCTAACCCAGCATTTAGCATGGCCAATCCACCTAACCTGCTTATCTTTAGACTGTGGGAGAAAACTGGAACAGTTGCTGGAAACCCACACAGACACAGGGAGAATGTGCAAACTCCACACATGCAGTCACCCAAGGGTGGAATCAAACCTGGGTTCCTGGCACTGAGAGACAGCAGTGCTAACCACTGAGCCACCATGCTTCCCAGATGGATGTTTTTTTGTTTTGAATATTAGATTAAAAGAATTTGGTGCACGAGAAAGGTTGTAAAACCCATTTATTTCATTGCATCATAAAATAAATTGTAAATGTGGGATAATTAATCTAAAAGTCAGTTTGAGCAAAACCCAGAGCAAGCTACATCATTATGGAGATGAGTAGAGATTAGGAAGGTTCTTTAGTTTAAATTTATCTGAATAATTACTGAGAGCGCTTTTGTGGTTTGGACCTTGTACATTTTGCAGCTCACCAAGACATAGCCAAAAGGAATGCTGAGTTAGCTAGACTTGTGTTCTAAATAGAGCAAAAATGCAACTTCATCATGTGCCATGTGGAATGCAGGCAAGCCTTAATCTAAGTTGTGAGTAAACAAAAGCTAGCAGAACAATTAAGAAGAGTCATTGAACTCAAAACATTAACTCGTTTCTCTGCACAGATACTGCCAGACCTACTGAAATTCTCCAGCAATTTCTGTTATTGTTTCAGATCTGCAGCATCTGCATTTCTTCATTTTATTTATAGAAGTCAGTGATCCCCACAGATTCTTGCACCAAAGGAAGTAGCGAACAGATTAGTTTGGCAGTCCTGGAAATGTAAGCAGAACAAGAGACTAACACATCCACTATTGAGAGATGATAAATGAAAATTTGACCTCAGAATATCTGGAGCTAAGAATTCTCTAGGGGACTGTGACATGCTTAAAGGTGACCTCTATAGAAGTAAGCAACATTCAGACTGACGTTGCTTATTGTAGTTATAACCCACATTGCTCGCTGTTCTATTTGATTTTTTTTTAAGATATGTCACATAGTTGGTTTTGCTCACAAAGTATTAAGATCTTGCTGCATAGTTCTACATGTCAAAATGACGTGTTTGTATTTCTCTTTAAGCATTAATGATCCCCACCCAGATTGTAACAATATGTATCAGAGATAGTAGGAACTGCAGATGCTGGAAAATCTGAGATAACAAGGTGTAGAGCTGGATGAACACAGCAGGCCAAGCAGCATCATAGGAGCAG